ACTACAATTTATATATATATATATATATACATTTAATGGTTACTAATCATGACTTGATATTATTGATACATTAATATATATATAGATACTGAATAGTTCATTGCATACATATATTTTGGTCAGTTCTTAAATTGGGAAATTATATAATGGCATTTAATCACATCAGCTTGTTTACCAATTTCATACCTAATGAGAAATGTATTGCCAAGAGATGATACTTTTTAGTATTTGCTTAAATTTTAAGTTATCTACAATGCACCAAACCAAACTTCAACAAAATTAGACAAAACCCTAATTCCCAGGAAGAGAAACACTATTACAAGTAAAAATATTAAATAAACAAGCAAGCAAAATGATTAAGGGACTTGCAAAAAGAGTTCAAATTTAGCATACTTGCTATCGCCTTACAACTCGCTTAACACTGATAGCATCACCCTGCAGCTTATTATGACACGCATGCACATAGATGTTTTGCGTAGAAGAAAGGATGAATCCTAGAATATAATGTAGTGAAGAAATAATAATATACAAACACTGTGTGGATCACATCTTTACAATACTTTGAATCAAGGTTTCTTAAACTTTTTTCAGTCGCGACCCCTTTTTATCACTGAGATTCTTTCGCGACCCCCAGGACCCCATAATATTTACGAAAACTTTGTGGAGACCCATAAGCATTGCGCAAATCTGACACACGCGTGTGTGAAACTGTCAATTTTTTCCCTTGTACTGTAATATACTATTGCAGTTTTAGGTCATTAACTTCAATTTCTAATTTTAAGACACAGAACAATGTGAAAATTTTAAATAAGTAACAGACGAAATATGACAACGTCACGTGCAAAGCAAGTAAAATGAACGTTTCTATTATAAAAAGAATGCGTCGAAACGTTTTCCTTTTTTCTCTGTCTGCATTGCCTTATTGTCTTACCTTTATCTATTTTCAGAGAAATTATTGTGTAAAAATATTTGGTAATTGTAAAATTTTTATAATAAGTATCAAAACTGCTACATAATATCAAAACTGCTACATTTTTGGCGACTTCCTGCTGCAGGCCCCGCGGCCCCTCTGGAGGTTGCGACCCACAGTTTAAGAAACGCTGCTTTGAATTTTACCTGTATCCTTCAGAATATAAACGAAACATCAATATAAAAATATAATAAACTTAATAATACCCAAAATATAATAAATTATATTGTAACAAAACGACTTTAAAAAATTTACAAGTCTCAACAAATACCGAATCTCAACCCGCAGTTCGGAAATTAAGGATTTTTTTTTATTATTCAGTTATGGCAAAGCACACGAGGGCTATCTGCCTAAAGGGAGGGATGCCTTTCGTGGAGGACTTTCTAAGGGAAACTGGCTCGTATACACGTTACACATGGGGAAAACCACGAAAACGCCCATTCAGCCAGCCCGTTCGCGGGATTCGAACCTCAGACGAACTACCAGTGTTCAGCGTCTTTACCGCTCGGCCGCTGGCGGGCTCGGAAATTAAAGAAATATCTCATAGCGTATAATATTTTATTCTGTATCTCACTTTTAGTGCTATATAATCTTCCATACACTTTATATAAATAAAATCTATAACATAATACTATATGTAACTCTCGATGTAAAAAAAGATTAATTATCAACTTTCGTACTGTCAAAATTCTATCTCTGTGAATAAGTATCAATATACTCATATACATGTAATTATAAGTATCTATTTATTAAATAACTAATTTAATTAAACTAAATTCCTATAGAAAAAATATATAAGTACCATTTACCTATTTATACATTAATAATTTATTATTACAAAAGATTTTTCATATATCATCTCCAAGGAACATAAATTAGAACGATGAATTATTGGAATAAATTTGAGTCAGTGTTTTAGGTATAAATTATTTAGATTTCTACTGTAGAAAAAATGCTTTAGAAACTGTATAGAAATATTATTTTGAACCGTAAAAATTCTAAATAGTAAAATTAAAAAGTAAAATTTAGAGTACTGAAAAGGTAGCTATTGTTATTGACAGTACATTATATGATATAAAAATATCACTTCGTGCTGAGCATTTCTTGTATTTACATTGCCAAATTAAATTTATGTAATGCAGTATTTAACAATATAAATAAATCTTCTAAACAGCCTTACACAGACAGAGTTAAAATTACTGCAATTAAGCGGATATTAGCACGTACAGTCACATTTGTTTACACACAGTTTTATTTACTTTAATATCTATACAAACAAATAAATTTAGGGCATAAAATTGTAACTATCGTTTCAGCAGTATAATTAATAAAAGAAAATAATGTTTAAATATTACTCTGACTATATTTGAAAGCTAAAACAGTGCCCTTACAAGACTCATGATTTGAAAAGCTTTGGTTTAATTGTCTTGTAAAAACTTTCAATTACTTCAGCGAATTTACCCACGTAAACATTACTACACCTAAATCAATTGACTATACAATGAAACTTTCCTAAAACAATTAACTCCATAATTCCAAATAATGCCAGTTTCTTGTAGCCTTACAAAACTATCAGTGATTTTAAGTACTGTTATTTTAATTATGTTCCTGACATATGTGTCACTGTCAGAGGTGGTCATTTAAGAAAATAACCACTCTATGAGGTTTCACTTAACGTAATATTTTTCAAATAAATAATTCATTTTGTATACTTCCAAGACTAGCACATTTAATATTACATAAACTCTATCAATTATTCACAAATCTATTTCTATTTCAAAAGCAATTTATGAAAAAAATATTTAAAATTGTCTTCATCAAACTAATAATAATGAAAATTAAAATATGCATAAAAATGATTATATGTGTTTTAACAAAATAGCACAAAATATTTAATGTAACAATGTGGTTCTAGTCTCATATTTGTAACGAAAAAAGAAAAACCAAATGTAAGCTACTATGATCATCTAAATTTTCACACAATTTTAGCATTGGAAAAAAGATTCCTTAGTTTGTATGTCTTGTCTACCTCATTCAATCATTCAATAAGTAATAAACACATTAGATATTTCAATGTTTACTTCATTCATAAAACTTACCTTTTTTGTTCGCAAAATGTAATTAGTACATATTTTAAGACAGAAAGAAACGTTCTTTCTGCTCAGCCACATCACATTAGTCGAAAAATTTAAAATTGAATCATGCAAGATCATTTTAAGTAAAGTATGCTTTAGTACATAATTTATTAGTACATAATATTCAAATGATAAAGCATCTACATGAACAAGCTTTAAAAAGTATTTCTAAACTGTAATAAAAAAAAAACAAATTTTCAAAAATAAAGTTTCAATAGAATGCAAAAACTGTATTTGTGCATCTTATGTAAACGCATTGAGTTATTATCAAGTCTGAAATTATAAGCTCATTAAGCTCATTGCTTTTTAGATGCAACATCAATGTCACGCACAGAAACTCCATTTCAGAATTAGTCAACTATCAGCAAAGTTGTCTCAAACATTGCACACGATTACACGTGTATGGCTTTAGTGGTATTTGCTTTCATATTCACAGTCAGTGCTGGTATTTTATTATTTACTATTAATATCTAAACAGTAAAACATAGTAAAATTTGAAATATAGTAAATCACAGTGGGAAATTTCTACTCATGGAGGTAGCGGGGGAGGGAGGGAATTTTTTTTCCTCACGTTAGAAACGGAGAAAAACAGTTTTGCGTTTGTGATTGAACGTGGCCGCGTTAAAGAGATGATGGTTGATACCGGTGTTTATTTGTAATATCAGAAATGTAAGTGCGTGTATCCAGAGAACCAACTCGTGGCAAAAACCACCTCCCTAAGGTGACCACCTCTGAAAGAGACCAGTATTTCTGTAAACATAAGCATATTTTGGTATTGAACATTCCCTCTGTAAGACTACCATGCACAAAGAAAGTTCTGTAAGTGTGGCTGGTCGCCTTAGAGAGATTCATTTCGTAGAGGCAACCTGCCTAAGACGAGCACCTCTAAAAGATAAACGTATTTCTGAGAACATGTTATTGGTACTGAGCAACACCTCTCTAAGGCGACCACTTGCAAAGATGCATTTTTATTTGCGGCTGGTCGCCTTAAAGAGACCTCATTGTGTGTGGTGTACATGATTACTGTTATTGTTTCTGACAAAAGTTTTTTTTTAAAAATCAAATAAATAAGCATATTTAGTAAAACCCTTTCTTGAAACGACCACCTGCGTTTCTGGGTTACTTTGATGATCTTAAAGAGATCATATTTTCTTTCTATTAATTTAATTGTTTACAAGAAGTCTATTAACGTCACCTAGAAAATTAGCATAAACTCTTATAAATCAACAGAAAATTTATTATGATATTGATACCAGTAAGAAAACCTGTAAAAGTCAATATAAACCAATACAAACCAGTAGAAAGTTCTGACATTGATGTTGGTTGCATCGGTGTCAATTGATACCAGTAAGAAAAATTCACAGAGATCAATAGAAACCAATAAAAGTCAGTAGAGACCAACAAAAATTCTATAGGTACCAGTAGAAAGTTTTACTGGTTTCTATGGGGCATTTTGAAACCAGTAAGAAAAACCCACAGTGACTAACAGAAACCAGTAAAAGTCAATAGAAACCCATAAAATTTTATGGGTACCCATAAAAGTTTTGCTGGTTTCTATGGGGCATTTTTAGCAGGGTGTTCATGGAATTAATTATTCACTTTCTTCCACCTGTGACATAATTTATTGTTGCTTACTGCTAACAAGAAACTCATAAGTTTGCTCGCTGGCTGTTGTTCATTGCTTAATTTTAATATCTTTGTCAAGAAATATGCCATTTCAGCTATATCCTTAACACCGTGCGAACAATTAGCTTGTACATGTGTATAAATATACAAATACTAAGATCGCTCAATAATAATAAAAAGTTTAATACAAAAATATTTCTATCATTTAAAGATTCTATGTGAGGTGAAAGAATTTGAATATCTGAGATCTTTCCTCTTTCATATTACAGGCAACCCAAGTTATCCAGCCAAAGGTGATTATTATGGATCCCCTGGATATGATTACGACACAGCTTTTGAGGATAACAAATATGGTGGAATGATATCTTACCCAGACAGAAGGAAAGGTTCCAAGTATGGACCTTTAGCTTTTGCTCTAGGTCTCTTACCCCTTGGTTTGCTTTTAGCATCCTTGGTCCCCACAGTAGTGACGATACCAGTTACAACAGCGGTAGCTACAGGTAGACGACGAAAACGAAGTATACAGTTTGTCAACCCGGTACTTGATACTATTTCCGAATATGGTGTTGCAGCACTTGAAGATCCTATGTGCTTAAATAGGATATTTTGCCAAGTTGTGAGAGATGGACAAAAAGAAAAATCCTCTATTGTTCAGAAATTTTACTACAAGTTAGCTTATATGTGAGTAATTATTTTTAAATTTATAAGTTCCTAATTATCATACATTTATAATGTATAGTGTACTCTCGATTATCTGGGTTAATGCCTGTGAAGCAGGTCAAGGGTAATTGAAAAACAAGGATAATCCAAACTTTCAATTTTCATGCATATTGTATGTGTTTATTTCTTAAGAAAATCAGTAATTTTAATTAGTTTTTAAGAACGTTTTCTGAAATATCACTGTGGAATTTTTAAAGTGTTATTTAATTACCGTATTCGATTATCCGCTCAAGCACTGAGTCATCACACAAGCACTGAAAGCCCGGCTCAATCGAATCGCTATCGAACTATTTCTCGATATTTTCCCAATTGACATTTTCGAAGAATTTTACACTTTCAATTTTTGGCCTGCAACTTCAGTTATTACTTAGACATTTTGCACAATAAGATAAAAGTCCAATTTCTGTGTTAGAACGCATCTTTCTCCATGATCGAATCTGTGTTACTGGTTTTACTTTCAACCAAGCTTTTGCTAGTTCGTGCATGCCTTCCAATACAGTCAACCTTTTAAGCAGCTTCATTAAATCATCATCTTCCTCAGCAAGAATGTTGAGAAGATAAAAAAGGTAATATCATTTTCTTGATTATATTACACATTAGTCTATCGTCTGAATTAAATTAGAGGCAAACCTTTAGCCATGATTAGACCTTTCGTTTTTTTCAATTGTGTCTTTTGAATGAGAAGGGGCATTAACTAATAATAATTCTGCTTTTTCTGGTAAGCCTTTTTAAAAAATTCCTCACTGCAGGGACTCATAATCCTGAACCAATCTTTGAATATCTCTCTGCTCATCCATGTCCTTTTCTGATTGTAATAATCTTGTTTCATTTCAGCCTCTTTAAATAATCTAGACTTCTCTGCTTTTCAATCATCAAAAGTTTCATTTCATATGTTCCTGATGTATTTGCAAAACGCATGACTGCAATGCGCTCTTTAGGTTATGTATACCCTGAGCTTTCTATTCTGTTGCCGAAGCAAGCGATTTCGTTGCCAAACACTTCCAGTATAGGCCTGTCTCATCTCCAATACACATTTGATTCAGTTTGCAAATTTTCGTGTTTCAAATACTTCTGAAAATCGATGCAGAATTTATCAGAGGATTCTACAAAACCAGAGCCGTTCTCCTTGTGTGGTGAGTTCTCGAATACCATATTGTTGCTTTGTTAAACATAGAAAATGCCGTTGTTCGCAAAACAAATATTTATTACTGAGATATGCAGAGTAATACGCAGAGTTACATGCAAACAGAGATAAGCATAAGCAGAGTAATACAAGCACTAGCACAGATAAATAAGTACAGGCAGAATAATACTAAGGCAAGCAGAATAACAGAATTATACTAAGCCAGCAGAATAATACTAAGCAGCGATAAGTGGTTACAAAGGTCATATATATAACTTTACAACAGATCATGGTTTAACAAATCATAAACAAGACACAATAACTAACCAATCAAAAGTAACATACAGAATGAAATTTAAGTTTCAGAATAACTCGGACCTGGCTGAAAGCTAATGAATGTTTCGGACTTGACAGAAAGCTATACTTCCTTTTAACCAGTAAGAATGCGATTACAAATATCTCAACACTCCCCCTTAATCGCACATTATACAAAACATAAAAGAATTACACAATTTTTAAACAGCTCAAAGATAACAGTTCATAGAATTTTGTTTTGGACAAAGCCTTAGTTAAGATATCTGCAATTTGTAAACCTGATTGTGCATATTCAATTGTAATATTATTTTCCTTAACAGTCTTACGAGTGAACTTTAATTTTATATCTATATGTTTCAACCTACCTGAAAAGTTTTCATTAACAATACTTTTGATACATGACTGGTTATCCTCAAAAATATAAACATTTTTAACAATGGAAATTTCATTTACTACATTTTTTATCCATAAAACATCTTGAATACCTTTACATAAAGCAATTATTTCAGCTTCTGTTGATGAAAGTGCAATACACTTTTGCTTGTTACAGCACCACATAATAGGACAGTTTGAAAACATTACAAAATAACCAGTAATTGATTTCCTATCTTGAGTATCTCCCCCCCAATCTGCATCTACATACAAACACAAGTTTGCCCTTTCCAAATCACCATTTTTGTATATCAATTTTAAATTTAAAGTGATTTTCAAGTACCTAAGAATTCTTTTTAAGGCACACCAGGCAACATCAGTAGGATGCTCCTGCAGTTGGCTCAAGCAATTTACTGCAAAAATAATATCTGGCCGTGTGATATATGCTAAGTAAAGTAAAGATCCAATTAATTCTTTGTATGGCCCATGAAATGCATTTCCTTTCTGAAAATCAGCTGCTGTAGATTTTGGTTGAATGGGAGTTTGGGCTGTTTTACAATCAGACATTTTAAATTTATCAAGTAATTTTTCAATATATGGTTTCTGATCTAAATACAAACAACCAGACTCAAATTTCAGTCTAATACCCAAAAATTCCGAAACACTTTCAGATTTTGACATTTTAAATTCATTTGATAACAATGATATTATAATATTTGTTTCTTTTACATCTGAACCTGCAATTAATAAGTCATCTACATAAAGAGCCATAATTACTTTCTTACAATTTAAATTTCTGATAAAAATACATGGTTCAGAGTCCAATTGCTTAAAATCTAATTTAATAACAAAATTAAGAAATTTCTGATACCATTGTCGAGGAGACTGTTTAAGACCATATAAACTCTTTTTAAGTTTACATTTCTTACCACTCATATCATCATATCCTTTTGGCTGGTCCATGTAGATGATTTCATCTAACTCACCGTTCAAGAAAGCTGTCTTGACATCTAAAGTAAAAGTTTGCAGACCTTCATTATTGATAATTACCAATATTAAACGTAAAGAGCACATACTAATCACTGGAGAAAACGTTTCTGTATAATCTATGCCTTCCTTTTGCATAAAGCCACGAGCAACAAGCCTCGCTTTGTAAGTTCCATCTCGTTTTTTACGTAGAACCCATTTGCAGGAAGTGGCTCTTTTATCAGGGGGTAAACTTTGTAGATCCCAGAAATCGTTATCTTCCATAGATTTCATTTCTTCGTCCATAGCTCTTTTCCATGGTTCTTGTTCTACTTGTGGTAGATTTACAATATCTTCAAATGTCAGAGTGTCTTGTGCAAACATTACTTGGTAAATCTCAGGATCAGGATACCTAACTGGCTGTTTCTTTTCTCTTGAGGATTTTCTTTGTTCCTCCTTCTTATTTGCAGCATTTAATTCGCCGTTATTAGTGTCTGAAATTGATTTGTCTTCATTTTTAATGTCATCATTGTCATTTTCACTCAAATCAGAACTATCGCAAGTATATTTTTGATTTTCTACATTCTTCTTTTCTTCATTAAATTTAGCATTTCTGGAAACAATGATGCGTCTTGTTTCTGGAATCATTAAACGATATCCCATTGTGGAATAACCTACAAATATCATTCTGACAGATTTTTCATCTAGTTTCTTTCTTATACTCTAGTGCGATGGTGGCACTAGAGTATAAGCATCACAGCCAAATACACGCATGTTTTTTAAATCAGGATTTTCACCATACTTCAGAAAATAAGGAACATGATTGTCAATTGAACTATTTGGGAGTCGGTTATTTATGTAAGCAGCCGTAAGTACTGCTTCACCCCAAAGAAATTTTGGTAATTTTGCCTCAAGTATCATTGCTCTAGCTTTTTCCAGTACAGTTCTATTTGCTCGTTCAGCAACACCATTCAGAAAAGGTGTATAGGGAGGTGCAGGATCTATTTTTACACCTGCTCTTTTAGCAACTTCATGCAATTCTCCACTGACATATTCTTTGGCATTGTCACAGCGCAATAGTTGGATTCAGTTTAAAGAATAGCTTGAGTTCATCAGCAATGTCACTTTTTCTTTTGAGCAGTCTGATTTCCATAAATCTCGAATAATCATCAATTATAGTCATGAAATACCTTTCCCCATAGAGTGTTTGAGGTTCTATTGGACCACATATATCAGTGTGTATAGTTATAAGCGGTTTGGATTCTTTTATGCGAGGACCCTTTCCTATAGGCAAAGCACTTTGTTTGGCACGAACACATACTTCACAAAAGGATTCTTTTGCAGGAAGATTCATCAGTTTTAATTTTTGATCACAGCAGTGTCCTAACCTTCTGTGCCATAAATCATCATTCTTTACTGCTAAAGCTGTAAATAAATTTGGTGAAAAATCACTAAAATATTGTCCGCATTTGTCCAAGTATCCAAATCTAAAACGCTTGTTTTTTTTTTTTTGTTTTCAATATAAACTATTTCATTTTTAAAAATTACGCTTAAACCTGCTGCTTCAATATTTTTGACAGAAATTAATTGTCCGTTTAATTTGGGAACGTAAAGAACATCTTTTAACATTATTTCAACACCATTCTTAGTTTTACCGCAAATATCACCAATTCCTTCCACTTCTAAAACCGCCGACTTAGACGCGCACTTAACAGTTCCAGTCTTAGGCTTAATTGAGGTGAACCATTCCTTGTGAGAACACATATGAGAAGTTGCACCAGAATCAATAATAAATTGATCATTCACAAGATTTCCAGCCATAAAAGATATTGCAGGGAAAGCATACTTATTACTATTTGAATTTGCCTGCTTTTTAGAATTATCAAAACATTCACTTTTAAAATGACCAGTTTTCCCCCAGTTATGACAAACGCAGTTCTTTTTCCTACAAAATTTAACAGAATGTCCTTTTCTTTTACAATAAGTACAAAACAATTCTTTACGAGCACTAATAAAAACAGAGTTATCTGTATTTGCTTTAGAATACTTATTTTCATTTTTATAATCAAGCATAAGAGATTCACAATCAATAAGTCTACTTGTAACAAAATCTAAACTCAAATTATTGCTTGGCTGATTCTCTAGAGATGCCTTAATATTTTCATATTCTTTTGGCAAAGACATT